GATTTACTTCAGCCATCCACTGATCATAGCGCTGAGAAGTGTTTCCACATAATCCCAGGATTACAAAAACATGTAATGAATTTACTGACAAACTTCTACAGGTACTGATTTTCTGTTCTATCGAAATGTAAAATTCACCCTCCCGCCACTTTATTATCTTTAACTGCTTATTTGCTAATAAGCTAATCGCATGGCAGCAGCTGGTCAAGACAACCTGATGAAGGTCTGAGCTGTTTCGAGCTGACAGGAAGGTAACAGTAACTTAAATAGCCACTCATTCCAACCGAGGTGCAGAAAGGCTACAGCTACAACAGTTGGGCTACAGCAGCAGAAGACCCTACTAGCTGACAGGAAGCTGAGGCTACAGTTCACATAGTCTTTCCACACAACAGCAGACTGGAAAACCATCGCCTGATCCAGTCTCAATTTCTGTTAGTATATGGTGTAAACATGAAAGCATGGATCCTGCCTTGGATCAACAGGAAGTCTCGGCACACTGTGGGACACTCAGTACTAACCAAATGTTAAACACCCCAATCTGCATGTGTTTTGTTGTTGACCATGTCCGTACATTCATGACCACAGTGTACCATCTTCTGCTGGCTGCTTCCAGCAGGACAACACTCCATGTCACAAAGCTCAACATGACAGCGAGTTCCCTGTACTCAAAAGTCCTCCACAGTCACCAGATCTCAACCCAACACAGCACCTTTGTGATGCGGTGGAACGGCAGATTCTCATCACGGATGTGCAGCAACTGTGATGCTGTCTTGGCAACGTAGCCCTTTTGTGCTATTCTGAAAGAAGAGTTATAACTTTCAGATATGTGCAGTGGAGAGATGCAGTTCAGGTGCATTATGGGAAACGTCATAACTAGGGTGTGTTTTAATTTTCACAAACTTTTTTTACACCTTAAACCTGCACCTATTACAGAACCCCACCAAACGGATTTCTCTCTTTATTTCTTTCCCTCTCTGTCTTGCATTAATTATTTGATAGCTGACAGCAGAGCTGCGCGGTAGACGGGTGGAGAGAGAAGAAGAATTCACGAATTGCTGAACTAATACAATGTGATTTGTTCTGGAGCACAGACTGAAAGAAGAAGGAAAAAAAACACAGGCTGGGGTCAAACAAATGTTTACAACAAGTCAGATGGATTTACTGTGAAGCCGCCTCCACTCTGTTTCTGTCAGCCTACCCGTTTAGTAGAAGGTATTCTCAAACAGTCTTCGTCAGTGTTGAAGCCACAGACTTGGCTGACCTCAGCGATGAAGTCGACGTATTCCTTGTACTGAGACTTCTTACACTGGCGTCTCTGGTATTTTCCACAGAAGTCGAAGAAACAGCAGGGGAGGACAAAGTAGCGGCAGGAATAAGACGACCTATAATTTGAAAAAGAAGGGACAAAATAAATCTACACAGTG